ATCTCTCTCATCTCTCTCTCCTCTCTCTCTCTCTCTCTCCTCTCTGTCTCTCGTCTTTCCGTCTCTCTTCTCTCTCTTCTCTCGCAGGAGGATCCGGGCAAAGAGCCACATATAAAGGACTCTTCACCCCTGCCTCCAAAAAGAGCGCCGTGTTTTTTCCTACCTCGCTGCCCTCCACTTTCCCATTCTGGAGCGCTAGCTTTCGCCCCCCCCCTTGGCCTCAAGTGCCCCTAAACCACCCCTGGCCTGATCGGCAGTCCTATGGCAGTCCCATTAGTCGTGTTTGGGTACCTTCCCTAGGGCTCCAACCACCTCCTGAGAAAGTGGTTGGGGTGGGTTTTGGGGGTCTAACCACCTTCTGAGGATATGGTTGGAGCCCTAGGGCTTAATAGTGGCCCAATAGATTGAGACCAATCCATCCCAGCCATACCGATCTTTGGCCCGCTGAACACTCGCATCCTCGCAGGAGGCTCCCAAGGCGGCCTTCGCACCGCCACCACGAGGTCCGGTGGTGCACCTTGGAGAGCGTTTCAACAAGGGCGGTCTGGCGGTCTGGGAAGTGTTTTTCTTCACCCAAAGGGACCCTATGCGAGAAAATCCCTTCTGGGAAAGATGTGTTTGCTTTTTATTGTTGTCCCAGTTCCTGAAGCAAATCCAAGAGGGATGTGTGCTACATCGCGAAGTTTCGCACGTGGAACAGCGTGGAACCAAATTCCTTCAGCGTCCTCCTCTCCACGACGCCCCCCGAACAGCCGAAGAGACCGACACACACACACACACACTTGAATAATTTACCGTTAATTTATATACCTATTCTAACTGCTTGGTGGTCAATCTGGAGGATGCATTTAAAGATTGAGAACTATTCAAATCATTTTCTAACTGTTAGTGGGTTACAGATTTGTGAGGGAGCGCAAGAACCTTCTTGGCGGTGAACGGTCCTGTTTTTGTTTCGTTCTTTTGGCGGCCTTATTGCACAGGCAATTGCCAAAAGGTCTCTGGTTCACTGACAGGTCCCGGTCGTAGGGATGGTCAGACCCAGGATCTGCCATGGCCCTATACCGTGATTTCAGAGGTTCGATGGCACAGGGCCCCAAAGAGGTGGTTCTATACACAAAGGACGCTTTGGGGTTTGAGTCATTTACTCTGAAACCACTGTAATCCATGAGATTGGAAGATTTGCCAACCCATTATATGTTTGCATTCGTCGATCCTTCGTTTGGTTCACTCCGAGCCCTCCAGGCTCTACAGCGCGGTGGGCACACCTCCTGCGGGGGGCACCGTGGTCAACGCGCCGGCCACTCGGAGCTTTGCAGCTTTGCCCCGGGGGGGTGGAGGACTTTGAGGATTCCAGCATTCGGTCGGATCGGGATAGTGATGGACATTGTGAGTATTATAGGGAGTTCTCATGGATCGAGTTCTCATATATAGCTTTAAATTTCAGATTCTCCATTCATCCCAAAGCAGATGATTTACCACTTCGGTATCTCATTTGACGCTCAGCACCCAACTCACAGGCAATGGTCTTGGCACCCACGGCCGTTCACTCCGCACTCACGCCTGCGCCTTTGCCGCAGCCGGTGCCGCTGCAGCCGGCCGTCGCCACGGCGACAGGGGTGAGTCCGGCGCCAGGCCGCGCGGTGACACCGCGGTCGCAGCCCAGTTGTGCACCCAAAGGCGAGTGGGCGGTTTCCGCAGTGTTCAGTGGGAGGATGCAGAGCTGAGCTCCAGGCGGAGACCGGCCAGAGGGCCTGGCATTACAAGCGGGTTAGTACTTAAGTGGACCGAACCGCTGATTGATTCTTTTGGGTTTGACCCCAGGTGGATGGAGATGACGGAGTCATTTTCGGACGAGCGTATGAGCGTGACAATGGCCTAATGCTTCCAAGCTGCATCACCCGGTGATGGCGCAGCAAGCTGAAATTTGGGAAGTACGAGAAAAGATTACCGACATGTACAGATATGATCAGATATGAAGAAGTAGCAGCCACATGCATTGGGTGCTTTTGGTGGTCAATACTTACCCTAGAGCTCCAAGTGCCTTCTGAGAAGGTAATGAGAAGGTGTTTGGGGTGGTGTTCGAGGGCCCAAATACCTTCTGTTAAAAGTACTTGGAGCCCCAGGGTTAAGGATACTTAAGGCATTTTAGGGCAACTCTTCCTTCCCAAGAGTGTCCATCCTCAGATTTCCGGCTCCATCCAGCTACAGAAGGGGGGCCGCCGGCGTCCCCAGTTCCGCTGTGCTCGTGACCCGAAAGGTAAGCATCAACAGGCTGCCAGTAAGCGGTTGTTTCAAGTCATGTGTGAAACAAATTGCGCTGGTTCCTTGGTAGACAGACTATGAACATCCATGTGTGGGCGGTTGGAAGGCCATCCATGTTCGGGATCAGCGACCTTGGACGAAGACTCTAACCCGAAAGCCTTGGCTCCAATGGCAGGAAAAACCTTCAACTTTTGCTCCGAATGTGGCGCAAAGTTTCTGAACTCGGCCAAGTTCTGTCACGCGTCTTGGCGCAGCTGGCGCTTCGCGACTCGAAACTGGGCGACGGAGAGCGGCGCAGTTTGATGAATATAGATAATTTATTCAATGAGGTTCACACGTGTCCAAAACACCAACAAAAACGCACGGGGGAAAAACTGAAAAAACAAGAAGCCTTTTTTATGGATGGTCGATCTTGTTGGGACGAAGGCGCGGCTATATGTTCTGGCAAGTATAACGTTTTGGGATGTGATTTGATCGGAGCATGATATGCCGATGCTTTCATTGTGCGGGGATGTGTGGCACTAGTTGGAGATCAACAAAAGCATCAACATGTGTACACTCACCACGCCATACCACACCTATAGGCTATTATAGGCTTCCTCACCTGGCCAGCCCCATGTCCCCCATTCCTTTGGTCATCCCATCCATGACACCAAGTCCCACAAGAGGCATCGTTTCATCATCCCAGCCTTCCCTTCCCCAAATCGTCGATGGGGCTGGAATACATTCCCCCAAACTTACTTACGTACGGAACATCTACCCACCATTTTCTTCGTACAAAAAGGGTTCCTGCTCAATACTATACTTACCTGTCCTCCCTTAAATCTACCACCCCCAAGCCCGAAAATTCTACTCTACATCTAAAAATTGTAAATCATCGTGTCCTGGCGGTCCCTCCGGCTTCAAGCGGAGGAATGCGGCGTCTTGCGCCCCGGCTGTGAACCAAGCCATAGCAAGTTTTGTCACCATTGTGGCGCCAAAGGCGCCACCGTGAAGGTCCCGAGCCGCCGGTGAAACTGGAGCTGGTTTGTTGGAAATGGGTCTTTCGCGACGTGGAAATCTTCGTTTTTCTTTCTTTTGGGAAGACCATGGACCGATGAGGGGCGAAAGAAGGACATGGTGACATTCGGGAAGGACATGGATGAGCAGTGTTTTTCTTTTGATTGGTTTCGGATGGGTAGACGGATTGTTGCATTTGTGTCAAAAAATTGCTGAGTTGACCACCCCAAATGTGCCTTTTTTTGTATTTACACTATACTCTCCAGAGCGTTGCATGTATAAATTTATCGGTTACTGTGGACACATTTGGGTGATTTCAGGGGTTAATGTAGGCATGTAGCATATATATATATATAACACATGCATGTATGGAGCATTTGGGTATATAGTTATTTGGCACCGAGTGAGCGAGGGACTTTTCCTAGAATAAGTGCAGGCCTGAGAGTTCGAGAAGAACCCTCAAGTCGAACAAAAATAGACCTGGAGTCTCCAAAGTATCATCATGGGACATGACATATATAATCCCTTGAAACAAAGAAACACATGTTAGTGCTCCAACTACCTCCGTTTCAAGGGTGTTTGGTTTTGATGGTTTGGAAGGCCCCACTTACTTAGAGCCCTTGTGGGACCGTTTGTTTGAGATGTTTTGAGGGTACGTGGAGGGTCCAGCGAGATCACTGCAGCGTCGTCGTCGGCTCAGAGCAAAAGAGGTGTTCGCCTTCCGTCGTCATCGTGGGATGCGAAGATCGAGAGACGGAAGAAAACAGAGGGGGGGACCTGAGATACTCGGAGTTTTTTGATAGCAGATAGCAGGTTCGGTAGGTCAAGTTTGTCATTTTTCGGCATGATTATTATAGTACAGTATGTTGTAGGCTATAGGCTGTTTTCTTTTGGATGACAGCTGTTTTCTTCCAAGACTATACTTGGCCCCACTGGAGAAAAAGGAAGTTCCTTTCGGGGTCGCCAAAAGACCATTCTTAAAAGAGTCTTGGAATCTCACAATATTTTCATATGCATTCTGTTATATTCTGTTGTGTGTTCTTTAATCTCGATTCGTTTGCGACGAAAGAAGGCCGGTGTTGTTCAACAAGCCGGCCCTGGTTCGCCATGCCAGGCCGGCTACATCTTCTACGTGGAACCTGATGGTGTTTGGTCTTTCTGGGCCGCTCGGCTGGTCGACCTGGACCGGCGAAGGAACGCATCGGGCGGACCGGACGAGCCACGAGCCACATCGAGCAACGTCCGGACGAGCCGATCGACCACCAACTCGGAAGGGTTGCAACACTTTGGATAGCAACACAAAGTGTTGCAGTGTTGCTCATGTTTAATACACATGGTTTAACACCGTAACATCTTGGTGTATACCCACACTTTGCAATTGCCAGGGCTGCAGATTAAAAAAACAAAAAACACGTGGTGTTCTCACGGTGTGCCACGTGTGTCTCACCGTGCGCACGCAGAATGACTCAGGTGGGCACTGGCAAGACCTGGGAGAAGCTCCGATCTCGGTGGAACGGAGTCAAAGGTCAAAGGGATGGGTCGCTGCATCGCTCGGGTGGGATGGTGCTCCTGCGCTCTGCGCGGTTTAAGGTTAAACGCCAGTGCGAATCCATAGGCATGGCATGTAATTACCCATTTTTAGCTTTAAGGGGTATATAATTGTAATATATATATATACTATATCATCGATCTGTACATTCACCCAACATCATCTGAAGAAATCACTCCAAGTCATTGGCAAATATTCTAGTTCGGGTTGTTGAGGAGCGAAGAATCTTGCATGACCTTTGAAAGGAGTAATTACACATGGACCAGCACGTGTCGGTTGGAGGGTGCTCCTGTTAGGCACCCGAAACCCAAACGTTGGAAGCCTGATGTTCCTTGAGGAACAGGGTGGCTTTCACATCCGAATGTGTTCCACGGAGTGTAGGAGTTACCTAGCCTACAGAACATGTTAGAAACATGAGCGGATGGAATCCACGCCCATCTTTTGGAGAGTTGATCCTCACTGAGTGAACCCATCAGGCTGTAGTAACTGCATGAGGCGCGGCGAACCGTGCCGGGAAACCCAGCGGCTTCACTCGCCGAGGCTCTATGGCAGCAAGGTGGTCTTGGGCCGATGGCACGGGAGACCCAAAGGCAGCGAGTCTTTGGTCTTCTTTTGAATCGAGTAGGCCGCAGACGATCGGAGGATGAAAGGCCATGAAGAAGACCCATCTATAATGAGAACACCTGCAAGTAATAAGTCCATCTCAGACCCAACCTGAGACCACTGCCTACCCTAGGAAATCCGAGCCCTTCTCCAATGGAAAGGGTTTGATCCGGACCCCTGCGAAGGTGTTGGGGGACCGACCACATGGGCACTTGACGGTGGCATAGAAGAACAAGAGAGTCAACCAGGTTGACAATCCTCTCACAGCTTTACATTGATAGTATCCCCTGCGAGTCCAAGACCATTTCTTGAATGGTCCTTTATCGAAAAGGAGCTTCCTCTACTTCGGTGCCCAAAAAATGTTTTTTGGACTTCTATAGGCTATCTACCAGCACCCTCCTGGCCAGGCTGTTAGTTGAGGGTTGTTGGACCCTAACAGGTCTCAATTGGTGACCTGTCGGAGGGTCCTGGTATAGATTCTATAGGTTTCGTTGCCCTACCGGACCGTCACACCGTGATCCACCGTCTTCTCCACGGCCCAGGACGCACTTGCGTGGCACAGTGGACACGAAGAATAAGGAGGCGAGGTCCGACCGGTCTTTTTCGATCGCGAGACGTCAGGTTGAACTGCTGAAGCAGAGAGAGAGGACCAATCAATCCAGTTGCCACCCTCAGGGCTCCAGTCGTGCCTCGGATATGACTGGACCCTCCAGTCGTCCGGGACGACTGGTGCACTCTTTGCGTGCAAGCTGCCGACGCCGTCAGGCTCGCTTCTACGTGGATCACCAGCTGGTGGCCCGAGGTGCGAGTCTGTCATAACCTTGTTGGTGCACCAGGACCCTCCGTTTGAGGTGTTTATAAACAGCCTCTTAGAGGTTAAGAGGTGTCCAAAAACCACTGGACTTGGAGGGTGCTGGTATAAAATTGATGATATTTCATGAACCATGTAGCATCATGAGTAGCATCATGTAGCATCAAAAGTATATAAGTATCATCATATGGAGTTCGAGATTGTTAGATAGTTATGCTGTTGTTTTTTATGTTTAAAGGGATGTTCCAAATGCATATGTAGATCGTGACCGACGGTTTTGGAGCATCAAAGGATGTCAGAACCTTCACTTCAGATGGAGGCCACCAACTAACCCACTGACTCATATGAAAGAGAGAATGAGTTGAAGCCACCAGTCCAAGGACATACTAGGACTGGGTTCGAGATGTCAGTCCCGTGGAAGGACTAAACAGATGCCACGTCCCGTGCAGTCGTCCGAAAGGGTTGGAAGGCTTGGATGGATCATGCGCAAAAGCCAAGGTGGCCACCTGGGTTCCCACGTGGCCTGGTTCTTCCTTCTGCGGCAAAAAAGGTCATCAAATCATGTTTTGTCATGCTCAACAATGACATTTGCAGGTTCGGAGGGAAGCAATGAGTCACAAGCAGCCACTTGTTCATTGCCCAGGTTGTTGACAACATGTTTAATTCATATTGTTAAATTGCAGTTTGTTATATTGTTCTTATTATGTGTTGTCTTTATGTTGCATTCCTTGGTTTAGTTAAGTTCAATTCTGAATTACCATTTTGGGGATTGTGTTGCTGCCTTGCTTTGCGATCAAAGTTAATGCATTGCCCTTTTTTGGCTCCCATTTCGAGTCTACCTCCATTGAAAGGGTCCAGCTATTGCCAGGAGGCCCCTTTCTGAAGCCATCAGGATGTGTTATTTTGGATGTTCTGATGAGAAAATCATGCTGCAGGTTGGGCCAGCTATGTGCCTAACACCAAAGGGCTGCTTCGCGCGGCGGCCCAAACTCTGCGGGATGTGGGGCACTTTGCGCAGCTGGACTTGGTGGCCTGGTTTCGTCAATGGAAAGCATGGCTTTGAGGCGTGAGGGTCTCTACGTACAAATTGTTCTGGACCCTCCAAAGTACCTAAGAAAATGGGACATGACCCTGAAAAACAGGTACGTACTTGTACCCATTTTCGGAGGTACTTATTGACTCCAGGCACATCCAGATTGAAGTGGATATCATCCCAACTCCCTTGATTGTCGGCAACGGCGAGCCCAAACAGTTTGAGTTCTAACTGCAGACCCAAAGGTTCTGGCCCTCGATGGTTTGTGTGTTTGGAACGCTTTGGAACTTGGTTGGCGTTGGCTGTGGTATCCGAAGAGGTCTCATTCCATCCTAGCAACGCATTTTTTCTTGACAAGTCCTCAACCTTGAAACTTGTTATCAATCTTGTACTGTAGTTGTTGTGTCCTTGGCGCGCGCGCAGACACCAACACATCTAAAAGACTTCATGTTTTCGCGATGCTCTTTGGCTCTTTGGCTTGGCTGGAGTGCTTGGCTGTTCAGCATCCGGCTCGACAGGTCCCGGCTCTGGGTGATGGCTGGAGACGACGGCATCGTGCGTGGTGGCAGGTGGTGACCTGGAGTGGCAGGTATATAGTATATGATACACCCAGTGTTACACCTCTATGGATCTATGGATACACCCCTATAGCAGTGATACACCCCTATGGATCTATGGATCTATGGCAGTGATACACCTCTATGATCTCTATGGACCTATGGATCCACATACCGAACCAGGTCGGTGATGACGGAGTGTTATGCAGGCGCCGACCGTCACGTCGGGCCCAGTCGTACCGAAGCTGAGATGGGTGGATCCTCGTCGGGCACCCCTTGAGCTTCATGTCCAGGTGTCCGATCCACAAGGGGTGTCCGATCCTTGGGGGGTATTCCAGCCAGATCCCCGATTTCGGAAGGTGCTGGGCTGGGTATCTACACATATTCTACACATACATAGATACACACACACACATATATATATATACACACATTAGACATACATAAGTTATATACCCACACCCAACGTATGGGGCTTGGTCCTGTAAGCCCCAAAAACCCACTCAAGGACGAACCAGCCTGGCACGGGCGGCGAACCAGGCGGCCTTGTACCCAAGCTGCCCTGCCCTGCCCTGCCCAGGTTTGGGCGGAGGCGCTGAGGCCTGGTGAAGGAGTTCAATGA